TATATTTTTATCAGAACAAACCAAAACACCATGTACATTTGGAAGCAGTCTGAGATGGTTACTGAAAAGACTTGATTTACTCATGATTAACTGTAAAATAAATAAAAAAAATTAAAACAGTGAGTAACTTTCATTGGCAGCAATGCAACCTCTTAAGAAAGAAATTAACCACCAAGATCTGCAAGTAATTTTCCTGATAGGATGCAGGGAGCCCAGTTCCCAGTTATCCCATGATACAGTTGACAAATGTAATGTTCAACTCCACACGGCCATATGCAACACCTACAATAAACTAGAACTTAAAAGTCAAAGCATAAACATATATATACTGCAGCCTTTCAGACTGACTTGAAAGCAAACTGCTTTTTCTAGAGTAGAGGGAAGCAAGTCAATCAGAATAGAGTAATTTCTGAGTGTAGTGTCTTCTAACGACAAAGTTATTTCAATACCTTGGGCCGCTCTCTGTAAGTATCAGCATTCACTTAAGCACTGGCAGACTAATTTTCAGAGGGAAGGAAACATATTTTTGCCATCCAACTTGCCTTCCAAATCAATGAATGTTTTGACCTGCAATGAAATAGAACTCTAATACACTTTGTTATTTACTTGTGAGTTTAAACAAGTTACTTATTTTTCATACTTCAATTTCCTCAGCCATAAAAAGAGAATGACAAGCGTGCACTTTGGCATAAGGAAACCGCTACAGAACTGCAACTCAGGCATTACTCAATTTGGAGAAAACTTCCCTCAATTCGCACTCGTAGTAGGATGTAACAGTATTTGCTAAGGTCCTGCTTTTGACCCTTTATACAAATGGAATTCAAATCCTCATTTCTTTTCCTCCTTTCTGTATGTTTTAAAATCTCTCAGCCTCTTCGCTTCTCTGGACTCCAACACGTTTACTCCTCAATCCCCATGTGTTGCCTGATCTAGTTGAGAGCGTCCCTGCCCAATGACAGGGAGGTTGGATTAAATGATCTCTAAGGCCCCTTCCAGCCTAGGCCAGTCTGTGATTCTATGAAATGGTGACTCCTCACAGTCCCACGACCAAGGCTCCACAACCGCACAAGCCGAGTATATGCTCGTTCTTAACTCCCTAGCCATCTCTTTGTAGTCTTTCACTCCTTTCCTCCTCATCCAATTCCCAGTTCATGTCTTCTTTTCCATTACATTCACCTACAGTCACCCATCTATGTCTATCAAACAATGTCAATCCCCTCTTTCAAACCACATCCTAAACCTCCCCATTTCTGGCCTGCCTCTTGTCACTTGAGACTATCTGAATATACCTGCACCTGCTACTCTACTAGATTCAGGATCAATTTTTGAAGACCATAAATAAAAAAAAGAAAAACTAAATCTCACTTTCTGCTTTCAGTGAGCTTTTCTTAAACTAAACCTCTTCCTCAATTTCAGTTACCTCTTCTTTCACAGTGGGGAAAACTCATTGCAAATTAATTAAATGTTAACAGGACAATATCTTTCAATATGCCAGGAGCACACATTCATAAATACAGGAACATTTTAAATACCATTTTAAATACTCAACTTCTAATTTTAGAACTTTTCCTGAAAGCAATTTTGTATTTATTACAGCATCATTCCCAAATAAGTTATTATACAAGCAATACTAAAATACAGGAACTTCTCTACTATAACTCTAAAGGTCTCTGGAAAATAGCTTCTGAACTGCAGAAGTAGAAAGCGAATACTTTTTACATGGAAGCAAACAGTGCTCATCACTTCATAAATCTGTTCTCTTAGTCTATGTCACAGCAATATAACAACATAATTAATCAAGGCTAGTGACTTTTGTTGCAGAAATTTATTACCTGACAGAACAGCGGTACTTTGCAAAACCAAACACTTTTAAGTCTGCAACACTTTGGCCTGGTGAAGATTTTTATTACGGCAGCTTACTGATAGCAAGTGAAAATCTATTCTACAGATCTATTACTGAGAATGAATTATTTCAGTGTAATAAAAAGAAAAGGATTCAAGCTTTCGCATAATCCCCTAAACACACTCTTGTGAAGATCAACAACAGATTACCTGTGTCACCCATCAGTTATTTAGATACTTTCCTGAAGCTACAATTTGATATATGCACGCTGACTTTAAGTCTCAAGACCTAAGACGTTCATTTACACCACACTCCATCGGTAACAAAATTTTGGGTGTTTCTAAGGCAATGCACTCATGTCACACAGGAATTCCCCCATCTTGACTCATCAGAAATAAACAATGTTGGCTTCAGTTAGCAAAGCATAAAACTTTACAGGTGGTGCAGGTGCCAATGTTACAGTGTTCGCTTGAAGAGTATGCTGCTATCTTCTACTAGGAAAAGGGAAATGGCATTTGTATTACTTATTAACCCTATGGTATTTATCCCTGTAAATGCAATGCTAAGTCATGTATCAAACTTCTGAAAGTGGTGTGAGATAGGAAGCCAGTAAGGTTAAAGCAACTTTTCAACATGATTAAAAAGAAATACACAGAAAAAAAGGCATTGTATCACATTCTAATTCTCAATATAGAAAAAGATAAAGTGTAAAGAGAAAAAAGCCTGAACTATTTCTCAAAATTAAAACCAGTACTAAACTTAATTATTATTGTCTCTGAACCTTAGAAATTGAACTTTAATTACATAGAAACATAGTTTGTTGTTGTTTTATCTCCAATTACCAGTGAAGACAGAGAAATTTTCCTTTATTTTTATTTGTCCTCAAGTCAGTTATTTTTAGGTTTTCATTCACTGTCACAACACTGGATAGGCTTAGTTGGATGCACGGCAAAACCACTGGTCTTTTTCAACAGATGTTAGAAAGCTGAAATCAGCATTACTCAAAACAGGATGTCACAACAGAAGTGCAGGTTTCCATTGTCCACTCACTGTAAAGATCTTCTATATGACAGACATGAGAACAGAAGTATACATACTGCCAACCCTGTATCTAGATTATAATTCAGAAATAATCTAAAAAAAAAATAAAAATGCTTTTAATTGTCCTGTGAGAAACAAGTAATGAAATTAGAAAAAGGGTGTTTGGGCATGCAGGTTATTTCCTAGTAGGAGCAACTTTATTTTTTTTTTCCATTTACCCATTCACATTAGAATTTTACGGTATTTAAAACACAGCTGAATCAAGCTAATGATGTTAATTAAGTCAGTACTGATACAGCAGAAAACAAACTTAAATACCCCTCTTGCCTACTGTTCTGACAGCAGCCTATTCCTGCGCAGGGAGGAGAGCAGAAGGCTAAGACAGGAAACCTGGAAGCCTGCAGACAGATCCACCAGAGAACTAGACACAGGGCTGCAGGAGAGGGAAGTTGTATCTTGTATTTTCCTGAACCGTGACAATTCAGCGGTTCTACCTTGCTGTACTGATAGAGCCTACAATTCTTTAGTCTTTACTGTTTAAAAAACACAAAAAAAACCACAAAAAAAAACCAAGAAAAAACCCCTACCACCTACCTAACTTAAGAATTTTGGAAGTTTTCACAATGAAAATGTCTTTTTGCTTTTGTCTTCTTTTTTTCCCCAGAATAAAAATATCTTTCTTAAGTAGTATCAAGCTGAATAGCTGGTTGATGGGTTCTCACTGGGAAAATGCTACCAGGAAATAGGCTACGGAAAATTAGATTTATTCACCTGATAACAGAAGGGAAGTTAGTATTATTTTCAAGTAGTCATCGAAGATTAAATCTACCATCATATACAGATTTTAATATGCCCAACAATGCTATATATTACAAGAATGTGAGAAGTAAATGACCAATTAAAGCAGTTACGAATTCAAAACAGTGAAACGCTTCTGAAAGCCTGCCACAAACACAAGGGCTCCTTTCACTGGTGTAGGACAAGTCTAACAAGGTACCGGTAGAGAAACAAGGATACTGGTGCAACATGGTTCAGGTGACACCTCCCTAACACCTGCCCCACACTCGGCAGTACACAGCACCCTATGGACAGAAGCTGATACAGACACTTACCTAACAAGCCTTTAAATTCTTTGATCTGTACTCGTCTATCATGGACCTTTGCTGGAGAAAGTAAATTCCCAGGGAAGGGCCCCTGACCGCCCTTCTCTGCACTCCGTTCTCTTAATTCTTTTACCTCCAGAGAAGCTGCAAGGCTTGGTTTCATCCTTTATCGCGTAAAGGAATATCTGACATCTGAGGCTTACTCTGGTACAAGTTCATCAAAATTAATTCTACCTCTAGAGAAATTCATACATGAAAAGGTTCTATTGCTGTCTAGAAAGCAGCAAGGATTCGAGACAGATAGGAGGCCTTCATGTTAAAAGAAGTCTCTGAAGAGAAAATGTTGGTTTATGGCCAGCTGGATCCTTTGGCTATCATCATGAAAACGAGGTATCCCTCTAATAAAATAAGAATACTTCCAACAACCTCAAGAAACACCTACAGCTCCCAAACCACCAGGAAGTGTGCAAACTTCCAGAATAATCAACAGTTAGAATACATGTTTTAATTAATTTTGTAAATAAATTTCGGGTTAGCACTTGTTTTGAAACTCTTCTGCAGTGCCAATTCTCAGTGCGCAAGGCTTCCTAACCCAATTTGCACAATTCTTTGGCTAAACAGAAAAGTCCGAAAGCTCCTCACACAGCCAATCCGGTGCTGAGATGTGGCTTTCCAGCTGAAGGCTGAGCAATAGTGTTTCCAAGAAGTGTTTCAGAATGTCATGTAACAATATTCCCAAAGATAACTCTCCCCATGAGTCTAATTCAGTAGGTAAGCATGTGGACAACATCCAGCCTACACCAAAGCATACTTCAACAGAGACATTTTCATCTTTCATCATCATGTTTCATCACTAATTGGAAATGACCAGCAACTCACTAAGGTAATCAAACATTAACTAAAACGCAATAGCTAAACACATTGTCATAGCTAAACACAACTGCTGCGTCTGTTCGTCATCATGAAAATATTTGCGTATTCCAGAACACTTTAAATATACCTCTAAATATTACCTTTTCATGAATTTCTTGTGTAGACTGAGCATCACAAAATGCCACTGTGGCTACATCCTTCAGAATAGGCATTTCTACTGTACAATCCCTGCCATCCAGCAACGCTACCAAAGGGCGTGGGTGCATGGGCCCATTCATGATCGGAGGTCGAATGCCTACAAGGAAACAGAGAAGATTTGTTATTCAAGCCATGAAAACATAATTAAAAAAATGTAGGTTATAGCTAGTGTGTTTATGCTGATGATGGAAAATGATTTCAAGGACTGACACTAGTCAAACAGGAACAAGTTTACAGTCAGGAATCAACCAAACAGAGAAACCTAACAAAAGCCACAGAGGCTCAGAAGGCTTAACAGTGGAAGATGGATAAAATCACTAAAGGAATAATATGTTTTTTAAAGATACAGCCTTACTGCACTATTAGTAAGTATTTGTGCAATTTTATCCAAGATTTATGTTTCAATTGGATTCCACACCTTTGTGAACTCTAGACAGAGTGAGAAACATCTTGTCCAGGCTTGTAAGAAGAGTCTAACTTAAGGAATATGAAAAGCAACTCAGTGAGGATTCGAGTATTCAATTTACACACGTGATGACAATCTGTTGAGACTAAAATTTAACTGAAAGCCTGCAACAGCAAAATACTGAATTTACTGAAGATCTAATGTCCAAGTGTACAGGCCAATTGCTGATCTATGTAGGTCTGCTTAGGCTTCAATGTTTTACAAAACAAAACCAATTCTGCATACTGACGTCAACCAAGCACATGATACCACCATCAAAAACTCTTACAAAATACGAATACAATGTACCTCCCCAAGTCAACATCACACTTGGACAAAGAAATACACATTAAATATCTGGGGAAGGAAAATCAGTTGGAAGTGCAGACTTCAGTTACACTCTCTTTATGGAGTCTTAAAAGTAATTCTTATAACAAATACTCAGAGAGCATCTCTCTAACTGTATAGATGCTATAAATATACTTAAGTATTCAGGGGAATCATATTAAACCATTACATTTACACAAAAGTAGTTAAGCGTGGGTGGAAAAAAGGGACTTCCTGAAGAGATAAGGAAAGGCAACACCAATAAAAACTATGTGATATTTTAGTTTTAAACATGGCAAAGTGAAGCAGGCTAGATACTTCTTGTATGTAAATTTCAACATATTTTTTCTGGAGAGCGAATTTAAAAACATTACTTAATTGATTGAAGTCCAACATTAATGCAAAAGACTGAAGGTTCCCAGCCACCTTCTACAAGAAATCCCTCCACCTTATACCCCTGTCTGTGTCAAAAAACGAGACCTGAAAGACTGTCATCTGCATTTTAAACGGATGCAAAATGAGTAAAATCCCAGCTGTACAAGATACCTGGTGAAGAAAAACAGCTGCTGGGAAAAGAGATTGTCACAAGTCAACAGAAGCAGCATTTGCTTCCCCAATGGGAGCCCACTCAAGTCGAGGGCTGAAGGAGCCCTGCTAAGGACACTGACACCCTCAGAGTCTCAGCTGTCCAGCCTACAGCTATAAACCTCATGTCCACCCCTAAACAAGTCAGGACGACAGACAGGTCAGCCCTGCTACAATCTGGCATTCAAATACGTTACCAACTCAACCAGGTGTTCTGCTTGAAGAGGACAGAACAACAGTCACTGCATTTGATTGAAAGAAGCAAAGGTTCTAGTTCCAGCACCTCCAGACAAGTGATGATGCCAATGGACTGACTCTGCAGTACTCTCGCCATAGCAGACAAGAACTCAGATGTGCAAAGTCTAAGTTTTCCATAGGTACAACACACATGAAGACTAGTCTCTGCTGTTAAAAAAAATCAATTCCTAACCTCTGCTGTGATACACACTCCTAATAGAAACACAGATTCTTTCGGTAATATCCAGTCACCAAAATTAAATGGATTTTTTAACATCATTTTTTAAAATTGGGCATCTTGCTAATATGCTATTGTTACCTCTTTGAAGCAGAAATGGCCATATAAACCTTCCTACAGTCATTTTTAGCCAATAAATCACACACTAATAATGTGGAACAGGACACAAACACAACACAAAAACACAATGGAAAGCTACACAGTTATCCAGAAAATAATTACTATCCTTTAATGGGGATTTAAGTATAAAATCGCACATTAAATTTACTTAGAAATACCCTAAGATAAAGCATGCTCATCTTTTCCGCAAAATAGTATATGTAATAGCATTAAGAAAATGCAATGATGTCCTGAAACAAATACAAAAATGACATTGTAAGTCCTGTTCATATCACATAGAGTAACAGTGCTCGTTTTACAATCGGTATGTTACAGTCATTGTCCTAATTGTCAGTCCAGCAAAGCCAAGATTTCAAGGACAAGCATGATTGCTAGCTAAAACAAAATTAAAATAACTTTAGTATCAAAGTTCTGGGGGGTTAAGAGGAAAATATAGCACAGACAATTCCCTCAGAACTACAACTAAAGCACCTCTGTCAACAGAAAAGCGTGTATACTATAAACATACAAGATGAGATTAAAACTTGTCATTTTTAAGAAACATTTTTCTGACTAGAGCTATCTCAGAAAATCATGAAATATGCTATCAAAAAACATAACCCTTTAAAACAACGATTTCTCTAAAGTACATAAAGGCGTGGTCTGGTTTTCTGCTCACACCAGTCGATTTCAACCAAGTTACTTGTGTCTGATGTTGGTGCTAAGGGGCACGCCAGACCGAGCCCAAAGCACAGAAACGAAACTCAAAAACATCTAGAAGGATAAACTCTCCCCAGAGAATCTTGGACTTAAAGAGTCCCCAGAACTCAAATACCTCCAGCGACCTTGACCAGGAAAAACCCTACGAATCTTCGCTTGCCAAAATCCTTTCTGAACTTCGGCACAGACTTCCTGTTGCACAATCTTTCTGCCTAAATGCAGTATCACTGAATCACAGACAATAACTCAACACTTAAGCTTACGGTAACTTAATCACAGTGGCAGTCGCTACTTAAAGTTTACATTTGGAAAGACACAGTTTCACTATGAATCAACCCTTTGAACAAGAAACTACTTCTTCCACCATTTAGATACATTCTGCCTGTTCTTACCTAGCATTGTCATACGGTGCCATGTGTTTGGCTTTGCAGCAGACCCTTAGAGGGGCAGGATAAAGCAATTTTCAGAGCAGTATTTTCTATGCCTGCATTAACAGTAAATCATGCAATTTGGTGCCAGAGGAACAACTGCAAACTGGTCAAAAGCGCCATTCAGCACCACAAATGTGAAACTAATTTAAAAAAAACAAAAATAATAAAACCAAAAAACAATTTCACTTAGCTGACTTATTTAAGTATATGGTACAGCATTTCACATAACACAGACAACAAATGATACCATCCACCCCCACATCCTAGAGCCTTTGTTACGGGAAAACAATCTCAGTTTATCCTAACTTGAGACTTTCAGGAACCCCTACCAACCTGACATTTCTTAATCTGAGCTTGATTTCCAGGGTCATGAATTCGATTTTTCAACGCTTTAAAATCTTCAGTATTCTGAGGCAAAATAGCAGCCTGTCATTCCATCCTCATTTCCATGTCTTTAATTTTTCTTGCAGCCTCCTGTAATCTTGAATCAAAGCTTTTATACTTCTTATCCACTGCAACCTCTGTAGCCTGGATGGCGTTCAAATTTTTACTAAAAATTAAACACAAACAATACATTAAAACAACATTAAGGGTCTGACTCGTGCTCACAGAAGGCAGGAAACTCAAAAGTTAAAGCTTCTCACTTCATCTGTGCCCTTCCCCCTTTCGCTGCTGGCTTTCCACCACACCTGCTGTGCTGCCACCAGCCATTAAAATACCAGGGAAACCAGCCGACTGTTAAGACACCCTCTCGGCACCTTGCGCAGGACAGCAGGTGTATTGTCAACAGACCTACCTGGAACAGTCGGCACCACTCAGGCGGCAAAGGTTTTGCCTCGGTGAGCAAGGATCTGAGGACTGCGTGGGATCTCCAGTACCACCTGGTGCTAGTGAGTACCCGAGATGGAGTGAGAAGCCTTAACTCTGAACTTGCTGGGTTTACTGAGTTTAAGTCAGGCCCTTAAGGTTATCTAAATGTATTTAATGAGAGGGGGGGAAAAAAAAAAGTTTCCCATGATAGCTCTAATCTACTTATTAGTTTGAGGGTTTTTTCCCTCCAAGATGGAAATAAATAACCTGCTGGTGAAGGTCTTGCCCCTGCAACAGTGGCCGTGCCAGTGACTGGTGGAATTTTCCTTGAGCACCATAACGTGCACACAGACACAGGCAGAGCAGTTGTCCGTACGCAGCAGCTATTCGCCACGCAGCTAACAGAACAGTGTCTTTTCAGAGCTGCCATTTGGACTAGCTGCTTGGGGAGGGGGGGAGTATCAAACCCTTACTCTAGTCCAGCTTTTACAGAAAAAAAAAAAAAAGAAGAAAAAGCTGTTTTCAGCTGCAAAACTCAACAGGAGGCCAGTCCTATGCACAAGCATTTCAACTGACTGTGGGTCTCACAAACAAGAGGATTAATCAATTTATCATCAGCTTTGTAACCAAAACAGGATAGGAAGGATCATCAATTACTACCGCTATACCTCCAGCAGCACGGGGACTTAAAAATTATCAGATCAACCTTAGCACAAGATACATTATTTTTTAACTGGAAAGAAACAGAGCAACCAAGTGGGCCAATTTCTTCCTGCCTCCCAAACCCCATCTGTACCTCCCATCACCTCTGAAACTAGGGTGCGTCTTTTCATGCCACACTCCAAGGAACAGAGCTGAAGCCAAAGCCATTTCAAAACTGGAGGATGAGAAAGCTCTCCCTGAAGTACTCTGGGCCATTATAAAAGACTGTTTTACAAATGCTAAAAATAAATTATGTTAACAAACTGGTAGTAGCTAAAGTGATCCCACTGCACAAATAACTGAGATCTCAAAGTAGGTTGTCACTGTTAGCTTACATAAGAAAACAGAACAAATTGCAGCAAGGTATGCTACACAGATTAATGATGATTAACAACATAGTTTTCACCTTTTTCGATCACTGATTAATACTGCATTATTAAGATCAGGAGTGTCTCGAGTCATACAGGTTAAAAGCAAAGGACATTGTCAGGTTTGTAGGCCCAAAA